CCTGGCCCCCTGGATATAATTAAAGAAAATATGTATGCCTTATAGTCTAAACCCTAAAATTCTAAAGCTTTTAAGTTATTTTTAAAACCTCTCAAATGCCCTGCTTACTATTAAGTAAGTTAAGTGAGTGTTATGTTTTGTTCTTGGTTTTGGGAACATTACCAAATAGGTTATAGCTATCCTACAAAGATCAATAATGACATCTAGAGGAGAACAGATGTAATTTCCATAGCAGAATGTATTAGATCAGAAAAATCCATATAAATTGTATAGCAAACATAAACCTAGTTTACTTCCATAGTTTCCCTATGCACCCTCTACCTAAAAAAGGTATACACATAAGAGATAACTTCCTGGTGGTTTATACTTTCATGAATTAGATAAAGTGGCAAAGAGAATTGGGATGTTTTCATCTGGTACATAAAGAAACCTCTGGTTTTCCAACAAACTCAAGTATATCCTCTCCCAAATAAATAAATCAGTTTATATACCTCAATTCATAAGTGAAAAATAGGAATAAATATAGACTTTGTTTTGATGGAGGTGGGATATAAAATTTGGCTACTTACAACTTTTGACTTATTAAGCATCTTGAAAGGCAAATAAGACTTAAAATTTTTAGGGGCTGTGGTTGGGGCTCGGTGGTAGAGTGCTTGCCTAGCATGTGTGAGGCACTGGGTTCGATTCTCACCACATTAAAAATAAATAAATAAGATAAAGTCACAAAAAACACTTAAATTTTTAAAATTAAGGCAATCAATGAATGAAAACCATATTTAGTTCTCTGAAAGAGAATGCTGGTCACAATACTTATAATACTTTGATTGAACACTAACTAAACTAGATTTTTATGGTGATGAATTCAATGAACTTGATATGAAGTGTTCAGTGGAACATACTAGGGGGGATATAAGTATATGATTGAAAAAGTGAATTAACATACTTACAAATAAAATATATACTGTATTTAGGTCTTCGAAGCTCCTGAATTAGATAATCCACATTCTCCTAGAAAATAAAGAGCAAACAAATTATGAGGGGAGTTGCTTAAATAAAAAAATAACAAGTATTATCCATTCATTCATTGATTTTCTGAGGGCCTACTGTATGCTGAGGTTGAGACTGTGTGTATGTTGGGCAGTGAGGACTGGGGACAAAAAAAGAGCTACATTAAACATAATGATCAGAATCATACACATGATTTTATAGGATACAGGTAATATTAATTAATGTTAAATATTAATTAGCTGAATTATCCTGGCCAAATTAAGTTAAATATATAAAGGCCACATATTGAAATACAACATAAAATTAATAATATTTCTTCAAATTTGCCTCAAGTTGCTTGTCTATAAATTATATTCATCTGATGAAAATTTCCACCCCAAACATCAAAATGCGTCTGGTCCTTCAACAACATTCAAGAGAAAATATAGTTAATTATATTCACTTCGGCTTTTAACTTATTGGACCTAAGAGTCTGAACAACAGCAATATTTGTAAATATTTGCAACATCAGGCAAAGACCTTTTCTATAATTGTATTATTTTAAAATAAAATGAGTGTTACAAGCAAAAAATGAGTTATTTTTATGTGGTTGAAATATGAGAATTCCAATTACATAATATCAAATTGCATGCTTTTTTTTTTTTGTAGTACCCATAGTTAAATTTCACTATAAATTGGGCCTCCAAAGTAAACATGATATATAATTCCTGAATTTTTAAAAAATATCACATGAATACAGTATTAAAATTAGTTTAAGAAATGCACATTATAGCTGGGAACAGTGGTGTACATCTGTAATCGCATCTGCTCAGGAGGGTGAAGCAGGATTTGAGGCCAACCTCAGAAATTCAGTGAGATCTTGTCTCCAAAAAAAAAAAAAAAAAAAGACTGTAGGGGCTGAGGTTGTGGCTCAGTGGTAGAGCGTTTGCCTAGCAAGTGTGAGGCTCTGGGTTGGATTCTCAGTACCACATAAAAATAAATAAATAAGATAAAGGTATTGTATCCATCTACAACTAAAAAAATAAAAATTAAAAAAAAAAGACTGTAGATTGGAGAATGTAGTTCAGTGGTAAAGAGCTGTGAGTTCAATCTCCAGTACTGTAAAACAAAAAAGAAATGCACATTGCTTATTAAATGGAAAAAAGCTTAACTATCATTTAGACTTAAAATAAATTAAAAATTAATTTTATGATATAATCTTAAGAACAAACTGTTCTTAATAAAAATATTTTAAACCTAATATTACTTCCTCATAATATGCTAGATAAAAAATAACAAAGCCTGAGAGTTTGAGAGAAAATATATAACTGTGAATGATATTTTCTCATTAAAAATGTAGGAAATAATGAACTAAATGATCTCTAAGATCCCTCTCAAGCCAAAGTTTCACGAGTACAAATGTGAAACAATTGGAAACCACCATAACACAATATGTATTCATTAATTCAGCAGCTATTTATCAAGTGTCCGCTATGAGGGACATAAAAGTCAGAAAAACAGATAACATCTCTGCTGTCATGGAGCTTACTGCTAGTAGGTGAGACAGATATTAAGTAATCATTTATACCTCACAACTTCTATCATGACAAGTGATGAGAGAGGAAGATGGGTGCTGGAAGTGCTTATAAAAGGTCAGGAAGGCCAGGAAAGGTTTGTTTAGGGATGAAGAAGTTCCAGGCAAAGAGAAGAGACCATGCAAAGGTCCTCTGGCCTGATGAAACAAGGAGAATAGTGTGAACTAAAAGATTAGTGTGGCTAAGGTGCAGGGTGTAAAAAGGGAAATGATTTGAAATGAGACTGGAGACAGTGTAGAATTTAGACCTATATTGGGCCTTGTAGAAAACAAGAAAGGAGTTTTGTTTTATCATAAAAGCAATAATAAGTCATTCAAAGATTTAAAATAGGGATGACATGATCAGATTTGCATTTTGGAAAATACAAATGTGATAAAAGTGCATTAGAATTTAAGAATATGAATGAGGCAAGAGAATGTACAAACTGAGATTGAAATAGGAAAGAATTTTTAAAGGAGATACTCAAGCTAGATTTAGAAGCTGATGAACAAAAACTGACAAATGGCTAAAGATCCTTTGATTAGGGAAAAACAAACAAAGAAGGGACAGGAATGACCATGTCGAGGGATGATAAAAAAGCCTGGTTGGTTAGAGTGGAGGAAGAAAATCAGTACATAGAAAGGTAGGATAAGTAAGGGCAGACCAAACCAGCTGAAGGAGGACTTTGCTAAGCTACTAATCATGGAGATCAAATTGAGCCATTATTGTTTCCTGAACATAGACGTGAATGAAATGGTAAAAGCTCAAGAAAGTAATAGCTATATATAAGACTAAGTGGAAATGGTGTTCAGTAGTAAGTATGGAGGTCGGTCCAGGAATAAAGTGATGTGGGTCTTAGAGTTGCTTATGACTTTGGGAGTAACCGTGAAGCTAAACGATATCTTGAAATAAGAAGTGGCTGTAAGGGGTAAACTGAGCTATGGAAAGGAGAACAATGAAGGTTATAACTCTTGACAAACCATGATAATTATGATGCCACAAATGATGATAATACAAATTTATTTTGCCTTCTTTGCTTTCAGATCAGAGAGTTCTGCATTTGCCTAAGCAGACAGCAGGTCGATTTACGTAGTACCTTCGTAGGTCGAAGAAAACAAATTGCCTTCAGGTGTTTCATGATCTCTCGATTTTGAGAATCAATGCGTTCAAAAAGGTACACTTCCTTCTGAAGAATCTCCGATTGTGTGTATACCATACTCACTATGCCAGTCTGTAAAGAAGAAGAATGAACTAAGATTATGCTAGCTCAGAATAATAAAAACAAGCATCAATATTATATCTTTTTTTCCCACTAGTACTTAGGGTAATTTACACATTAACATACCGAATAACATCTACGGAACATCCAAAAAGTATAGTAATGTAGCAGAATGAAAAACACGATCTCTCTGAACACAAACAATCCATAAATTTCCAAAAATAATTTCTCCGTAGCCTTAGTTTTATTTTTTTTCCTTTTTTAAAAAATCTGTGGCCAACAAATAACCCGAGGCATCAGCTTGAGCCTCCGACAGCTTTATTTTAAAAGTGCCAGGTTGAGCGGAAATCCCAGGCACCCCGAAGGTTCCCACCGCTCTCCCAGGAATGACTTCTTGGCGGAGACGCCGTTCCAGGTACAAAAGTCTGTGGGCAGCAGTGAAAGCCTTTAACTGGAAACCCACTGCGCAAGCTTTATGCAACTTTTCAGTCCCGCGCAGAACCGAACCTTGGGATCTGCATTAAATACTAAACCCTATGGTGAAAGGGGACCTTCTCAGGGAGGGAGGGTTCCTTCACACACAAATACTGAGCAAAAGCAAACTCACCGTCTCTCTGTCCATGAGAAGCACTTTCATCCCGGGCCCGCTGTCCTCTATCATTTTGGAGACATACTGCTTAACAGCGAAAACCACGTTCATGGTGGCGAGCTGACAGGTGCCCCGCAGCCCTTCCCGCCCCCTTTTTCTAGCTGAATTAACACCCGGCCTGTTGGCGGGGTCGCAGCGGCTTCCGCTCAGCCAGGCCTCGGCTTCCGGGAGTCCGGGCGGCCACCGCGTTGGGAGTTGTAGTTCCGCTGTAGAGTCCTGGCGGGGAAGCCCCTCCGCCGGGTGGGAAAACGCGGTGAGAGCGCGGGAGGTGCGGCGCACGGACCTGACGCGCGAGCCTCCTTCCGCCCGGAGGGGTCGGCAGCCTGGGCTCTCAGACCCCTCCGGGCAGTGGGTGCCTTACCCGGGCCTCGGCCCGAACCTCTCCTGCGTGGGTAGAGGATGGCGCCTCATTCTGAGGCCGGCTCGGAGGCGAGAAGGACCGAGCGTGGCCGTGGTGGCCGCGTGCCTGCGCGCCTTCTCGGGCGCGGCGGGGAGGGGCGAGCGGAGGGGCCCGGTGCTGCGGGCGCCCCGACTTCGCGGCCGCCGAGACGCGCGGCTGGGCGTGGGGGGAACGGGGCCGGCAGGCCTCCCCGGCCCGCGGCCGGCCCCCGCGTTGTGGATGGACTAGATGCTCCTGAGTATTCCCACTAAGACGGCGGCCAGCGTTTGGGGATGGGTTTAATCAGTGTATCCAGCGTTAACAAGTAAGTTATTTCAGTTTATCGTTAAGAAGTAGTCGATTAAGACAGGGCCTTAGTCGGGCTGATATTATACAGCATATCCAACTTCCAGATCCTCGAGAGGACACCAGGAGTCACTGGAAACTTGGAACTTTTGTCATCTCCGAAATTGAGAAGAATGCATTCTTTTCGGGTTTTTCTACTGGAAGTTGAATGTTTTATTACTTTTGAGATGTGTTTTGAAGCAAGTCTTTAATAACTATGTTAAATGGATACAAATAAAAGCAAATGTTATGTAAAATTCTTTTCTTTTTAAAAATTTTGTTTAGTTGTAGATGGACACGATATCTTTATTGGTATGTTTTTTAATGTGGTGCTGAGGATGGGACCCAGTGCCTCGCATGGGCTAGGCAGGTGCCCCACCACTCAGCCACAATCCCAGCCCCTAAAATTCTGTCCTTGTCAACTAAAAATGTTCCTACATTACGGAAAGCGATGAAACAATGCTCATGAAAAAAAAAAAAATTCACCTACAAATACCACTAGTAAAATTCACCTCCCTTGTCACTTGAATTTTGTGTTTCTTACCTTTAATTTGGACTGTATTATAAGGGGTTTTCCCCCCTATTTTCTGCACTTTTTTGAGAAAGAACCTAGAGGAGAAAAAGGCATGTCCATGAAATTTTTGTTTTTTTAGACCTTAATCGTTTGCCAAGAAAACATGGAAAGAATCTACATCCTTTTGGTTATTTATACTTGGGCAGTTATAACTTTTTTGAGGGAGAAGGAAAATGCCTATTTTGACAAGGGATTTTTCCATTTCCCATAAAATTCCATTGATGTCAGTGGCTGTGTTATTTTATGCATTGAGTGATAAGATATGGAAAAAACATTTTGAACAAAATAATTGTATATTTAAAGGGTGCCTCCATGGTCCTGAAATTTGACAGCGTTACTTTCTTCCTGAAGAAAGCCACACAAGCCATTTTCATTGTCTCCAGATCAAGAACATTTTTTGTCTCCCCATCTCTCTAAAACTAGCGCTGAAACCAGTGATAAAGTCCGAACTCTTGCTTTGTGACTCATCCAGGATAAACTCAGAGTGATTTGTTATAGGCAACAGATAGAAAATTCAGTCAATTGAAGTGTTTTACTTGTTTAGACTGTAAATAAACTGTAATCAAGAAATATATTTTAAAATAAAGATCTTAAACTTGGAAAATAAGTAATGTCTTTCAAATATGAATGATTATGCTACAAAAGCTTCAAATGCACTTAATTGAGACGTTTAATTTCACTGGGTCTAAGAAATCAATGCTTTAAGTATAGACAACAAGAAGTTTAAAAATGGGATCTTTACATTTGTGCATTTTATTTAAACTTGTATATATGTAAATTAGTTAATGATAATTATATGCACCTCAGCTTCTTCCAAAATGTATATTTAGAGGTTTTAATCAAAATCATGTTTTACCCCCATTAAAACTCAATATAAAACAATATGTAAATAAGGTTCAGTAAAATTACAATAAAGATATGACAAACTCTGGGTTATTCTGAATTGTATAAACACTTCTCCTTCAAGTCCCGACGAGGAGAGAAGTAAAGATAAAATTCAGTGAGACTGCAGTTACCTAGCTTTCCTATTTGATAGCAATTGAAAAAATATTGGGAAAACCTTGCTTGCCTCTGATAAATGGTGATAACATAATCTACCACAAGAAATTGTGAGAATTAAATGAAATGATGTGCCAAAAGTGTACAGAGCTTGCACATGGTAAATGCTCACTCTTTTTACATATACATACACACAGACATGTATTAGCTTTAGTTATTGGAAATAAAAAGATTAGTATGCTTTCTTAACTCATTTCTTTCTTTAATATACCTGTTAACAAGGAAGTTTAAAAATAGAATTGATTTCAGAATTTGTAAGTATAACTTCTAAATGTAGTTTCCATAATAATCTTATTTTGTGTTACTATGCAATAATAGAAATATGCATGGGAAGATTTGGCCCACTCCATCATAATTTGTAAAGCATGCAATTTTTATGAAGGCAAAACTTGGGAAAAAATGTGCTTCAAGTGATTTCAAAGGTTTAGAATCAAATAATTTGTAAAATTTTCATCCCAGTTGGCTCAGTGAAAGTATTAATACCTTCCAATCATTAAGTAAAAAATATTTGCATAAAGAGTTCTTTCTGCACAATCAATAACTCCAGCTTTCTGGGTAAGTTAATTGATAATAGTCCTAGTGAGTGGTTGTATTGCTTAGCTGAGTTTGTATAGCATGACTGCCAACCATCTGTGGAATCCGTGCAGGCTTTTTTTAAAGTAATGATCCTGAATTCATAGTTTTGATTACAAATAAATTCGTTTGTGAGTTGTTTTTTTTTCCTGGTACTGGGAGTTGAATTCAGGGGCACTCAACCACTGAGCCAAATCCCCAGCCCTGTTTTGTATTTTATTTAGAGACAGGGTCTTGCTGATTTGCTTAGCACTTTGCTTTTGCTGAGACTGGCTTTGAACTTGAAATCCTGACTCAGCCTCCCAAGCTTCTGGGATTACAGGAGTGCACCACTGCATCAGGTTTGCTTGCTTATTTATTTATTTTTGAGATTTTGAGATTACCAAAGAAGCTGGATTTCTGTGTGGGAACAAGCCCACAGCAAGAACCATTCCTATCCACAGAAACACCATCAATATTTTGAAAGAGCCAGGTAACTAAAATTCCTTTAAATAAGACCTTTGCATTACCAAGGCTGAAATGATCTAGTCTGAGTGAAATTTTGATTCTATGGATTTGGAATTATTGTGAATGTAATTCATGTTTTCTTGTTCACTTTTTAACCAATTCTATACCATTGTATGGGTTAGCAGTTTTCAAGATGTAGACTGTGGACCATGGTAGTTTTGTAAGTAATTCTAATATATAATATAGAATGTACTTTATTGTTCAAGAGAGGATCCTAGCCAACATAGGTAGAAAAGAACACTTGCTCAGAGTAGGAAAAATTTTCTTGGACAGAAGTTTGGAGAAAATGTAGAAAACAATGTATTGCCAGGAGGAGTGTAAACATTGGTGTGATGTCTTGAAGAGCAAGTGGAAATATCTTAAAAAGCTGACAATGCATTCTTGGGCTCAAAAATTCTGCTCTTGGTACACGTCTAGAACAGAGCTTTCCTTCCTTATTGTTATGTCAAAAGTGGACAAGCAGGACTTGAGACAGCTAGAGTCCCTGAGCAGGTCTCCACTGTCTGAACAGCCCTAGTCCTTTACCTATGTTTTCCCAGTGTGTATAGTCATAAAAGAAATTTCACTGCTCTTGAGAATTCTCGTGTGTTTTCAGTACCTGGGATTGAACTCAGGGACTCCCCCCACACCCACACAAGCTACATCCCTAGCCTTTTGTATTTGTTTATTTTATAAGTTTTCAGACCGGGTCTCACTGGGTTACCCAGGCTGGCCTTGAACTTGCAAACCCTCTCCTGTCTCAGCCTCCCAAATTGCTGGGATTATAGGATTTCTTACATGTTTATAAGACATGTACAAAAATGTCCTTACAGGTATTTCTGATAATAGTAAAAAAGTTAAAAGTAACCTAAATTGAAAATAAATGTCCATCAATAGAAGAATGAATAAATAAATCCTGTTTATAATAAATAGTAGTTTCATAATAAAATACTATATTCAGTGTTTTTAAATGAACCAGAGTTAAGGGCATCCTTGTGGTCGAATCTCAAAAAAATGGTAGGGGGATAAAGGCAGCATACACAGTCTTTGTAGAATATGGTATTATTTACATAACATTGGGAAGCAAGCAAAAAACAGTAGCATATTGATTAGGACTACAGGCCTGTAGAAAAATGTACAAAGAAATGCTGCATGCAAATTATAACCAAATTAAAATTAGTGGTTGTGTCTAAAGTGGGAGCAAGAGGGTGACAGCTGGCGATCGGAACAGAGTCCTTCAATTATAATACTGATACTATATTTTTTAAAATATTTTTTTATCTGTAGATGGACACAATATCTGCGAGAACTTAACGGGAACTCAAAAGTAGTGGGCACCCGAGGTAGCAGGAGCCACCTTATTGCCAGACAGCAGAGGTTTATATACACAACTGAATACACAGCTTGTTTCAATTTAGCATCATCCAGTTACAGCAATCAGTCATTATCTTAATAATTATACACAGCTTAACTTAATTATCATCATCTTAATGGCTCGCTGGCATTACTTCTCAACCACTCCTTCTAGCAAAATGCCAGGTGCCAACTTGACTTGATTGTGGCTCTCAACATGTTTTATTTCATTAAAAATGTTTCCTCAGCCTTACTGGTGGAAAGTCAGCCACCAGCCTCAGCTTTGAGCAGAATTAAGTGCCGAAAAAAATACAACATTCATTCCTTAAATAAATATCTATTGCATACTTTTTTAGTTGCTATATTAAGTTGCTAGGGTTGCTGTAATAAAATACCACAGACTGAGTGGCTTAAACAGCAGAAGTGTATTTTCTCACATTTCTGGAGGCTAGAAGTCCAAGATGAAGGCATCTGAGGTCTTTTGTAGATAGTGATCTTCTCCCAGTGTTTGGGTGATCTTTCCCAATGTGTATGTCTGCTAATCTCCTCATTTTATAAGAATACCAGTCTGTTGCATTAGGGCCTGCCCTAATGACCTTATTTAAATTTAATTGTTTCTTTAAAGAGCCTGTCTACATATGTTGCATTCTGAGATACTGGACATTAGGACTTCAACATACAAATTTTGAAAGGGATACAGTTCATCCCCTAATAGGTATTTATTGCTGAGTAAGTCCTTCAGCCCTGGATGTTACCTATAGAAAAAAAAAAAAAGTGTGAAAAAGCACTGAAACTCTTCGAAGGAGCCACTGCTTATGTGGTATTTCTATACTTAAATAAGGATGTGCAGCCCTACGTCTATCCTTTGATTTTTCCCTTACTTGTACTTTATAAAATGGTTGAGAATACTGAAAATACACAATAGCAAAAGAGAA